CCTAGATAAGTTCTTGGCCTTGGCCTCTGATCTTGAATTAACAGAGCCAGTGAACTATCACAATTGCTGTAAAGTACAACCTGAAGGAACAAATTCAGTGTTTCTTGGTCTGAGTGATGGTGTCCAAGCCACTTTGGGAGGCATAAGCTGTGATAGAAATGATTTGAGTGTAGGAAATTAGTAGCTCCTTACAAAGTTCTACTCACCTAAGAATGGCACTCAGTTGTTCTCAGAGCTAGTGTATAATTGCCTCATGTTCTCTTGTTTCATGTTTATTGTGGAATATTTTAGGGGATTAGTCTCATGTTTTAGTTTTGATTCTAAGAGCTCATTGAGTAGTCCACCCCAGTTCTGAGGTCACTGTTGATTACAGTCCCTTCTAGTTTCTCCAAATACCACTCTTTACCTTTGAGATTGTCCCCAGTGAAAGCACCCAACTACAGACTTGGTAAGTAGTATCTTCAAGCTCATCTTACACAGTAACCTTCTTACTATGGGAATAAATCAACCAAAAAAATAAAAACTCAAGCATTTTAAATTCTGGTAATGTGAAGTATAATGTTATGGGAATCCTGGTGGCCTAAGTTACTAATTTTGGCAGCACCAGATAAAAAAAATGGCAACTCAGTTTTCCCAAATCCCTAGTGCCAGTTTCTACATTACAAGCTATTAATACCCCGAGGACAAAAGTGAAGGTGCATCTAAAAGTGAAAAGAGCATTGAACTAGAACTCTGAGATTGTACATCAAGTGACTGAATCAGAAGATCTGGATTCTGAGCCTCCCTGCACTCTGTGTCCTTGTACAAGTCACTGATAAAAGGAAATTTTGAGCAGGATTATTTCAACCTTCAGTATCTTTGCTAATAATTTCTGCTCATCTACTTCACAATATATTTTGATAACAAAATAAGATAATCTACATGAAGATGCTTTGAAAAGTATGCAATCATACAAATTATAAATTTCTGTTATTGAAACTTACACAGCACATTATTCATTACTAAAATGAATCTTGCCACAGTGACCAAAAAAAAAAATCAATGGCTTGAGCTAAAACTATGATACCATTGCAACATCCTTTTTTTTTCAAAATAGCATTTGTCACATTGCTGTTAGAAAAATGATGATGGACATTTTCTACCATAATCTCCACTTAAATCAAAATTTGGGTATTGCTCAGACATTACAGATTGATGTCCCTGCCCAGTGGCATGCAAGAGGCTAGGTAATTATCTGATTAATTTGGAATACTATACACACCCAAGCTGTGTGCTGTGGTGCACCAAATGTCCAGCTCAGGTTTTCACCACTGTATTTGAGGTCTATTGGAAATGCCTTAAAATGACAGTGGCAGCCACTACAGATCTGCACCACAGTGTAAGAATATATGTAAGGTTGAAAGACTCCTGGTGAATTTCATGTGGTAGACTTAATCCTTTTTGAATAGAGCATAACAATGGAAACTTCTTCCCAAACAACTATCAGTCTGAAAACATACCTCCATACTAGCACATACCTCCTTAAATGTCCCTGGAGTTATGATCAGTCGATAAGTTATGTATGTGGGGATGCAGATGAAAGATGAGGTTCCTATACAGTAACCCAGGACAATACTCCAGTGAGGATAGTTATATTGGAAAAGCCGTAGCTGTGGTGGGCTCATCAAAAAACTGCAAATGATGAACTAAAACAGAAATTTCAAGAAACATTAAAAATCTTAATATTTGAGTAGATACAGTTTTAACACCATATCCTAAGATGAATTCAGACACAGTATCTTCTTTTTATATCTGAATTGCAACAATGAAACAACCATGTATGTATCTTGATTTTTCCTCCCTACCATTATATCTACCCCTACAGGGGATGCCAGGGCCTCAGAAAATTATTTAGGGACGTGACAGCATCCCCTTCAGGGCAAAAGAGGAGAGGCTGGCATCTATTAGGAGTGGTTTCCCCTAGAAGTAATAAATGGGGTGACCTTTCCAAGGCCTTTCCCAGTCGTTAGGCTTCATATTTCTCTGCATTTCCTTGGCTATGATTGGTTTTGGTCAGATGGAAGGTACTCTGGTCAGGAGAGATGTTTTTGGTCAGATGAAAGATATTCTGGGCAGGATAGATAATAAGGGGTCTGGAGAGTACTCAGACCCCTGGATAACCCTGGATACATGTTTCTTCACTCCCCGTTTTTGAACTTTCTGCTTTCTGCATTAAGTTCCTTAACCTGGGTATTCAACATGGATGATTCTACTTGAGACCTCCCAACAATTAATTAATTACTGATTGCCAGCAGTAGACCCTCCCAGTGAGAGGAATAACTGGGGGGGGAAAGCAGCATAATACACCTTTTATTTGAAATTTTTGACATTAAGTTCCTTAACCTGGGTATTCAACATGGATGATTCTACTTGAGACCTCCCAACAATGAATTAATTACTGATTGCCAGCAGTAGACCCAGTGAGAGGAATAACTGGGGAAAAAAGCAGCATAATACACCTTTTATTTGAAATATTTGACCAAAAAAATTCATGGTGTGCTCCCAACATTCAGTTTGTGAATTTTCTTATTTCAGTTTGGTTTCCAGAGAGAGAGCATAAATATCAGTTTTTGCCTAGTAACCACTGTGCCTTAATCGTTATTGCTCTTGATTTAATTTAATTTTATTATTTCATAGTCATAAAGAAGACAGTAATATAAATTATTTATGTGGTTAAACATCTATTTATATCTTTTTTTTCTTTGTCTGCAGGTAGTAAAATGGGAAATTGTTAAACACACATCCATTTTCTGAATAGTGTTAGCCTCAGTCCAGAAGGAACCTTTTAAAGCAGGAGCTGGGTCAATCAAAAACCTTTCTCTGAACTTACTCTCCTCACCCCCAGACTCAGTCACTGAGGTAGTTTTGGATAAGAGAAAGGAGTGGTCTGGTTAGGAGCCACCCTATTGTAATTCATCTCATTTTAATATCAGGTGTGGGAAATCCAAAGCAGTTCAGAGTGACCTCAAGCTCCTATTATGATGAGTAAGTGTTAATTCACATGCCCAGCCTCTCCTTGCTCATATGCATTATTTTCTTTTTTTTCTAACTTGGTTTTAGTAAAAAATTGTATTTTTAGTAAGCTACTCATTTACCTAAAGCAGCCTTAAAAAGCCCAGAGTAGGGTATCTGTTAAGTAATCCCAGAAGTGGAAGACAGATTTGTCCCTTCTGAATAGGGCACTAGAGCATTTGTCTTTAGAGGAAATGAGTAAAGCAAACATCGCAGGAATTATGAATAATGTACCTGAACCCACCAAATCTGTGCATGAGTTTTGCGGGACGCAGCAAGTCATCTGCTGTACACCAAGAATTGACCTAGTCAGCTAGAAGTTCACGGAAATGAAAATACTAAAATCCTGAGGCCAGGACTGGGCTGAAGCATGTGAGGCACTCATTTAAGGAGGTACCACACTTAAAGTAGTCAAAATGTCAATAATCAAGATAAATAACACTTTAGTGCAATATTTTAAAAAACAAGGCCTGATGGCCAGATTAGAGTGAGGCAAATGAGGTAAAACAGGTAAATACAGGGTCAGATCCTATTTATTTAAAAAGTTGGTATTTGGTTGATAGGGGATTTTATGCATTAATTTGTGTCTTTAAAAAATTAGTAAATACATTAAAAGTAATGCATTTTAAAACGTTAAAATAATTTTAGACTTCTGAGTTTCTTGGTGCCCTCTTAAATTTTATATCTGTGGTAAGTACCTCACTTGCCTTATCCAAGTCTCAGCCCTGGACATCATTCCCTCAGTGTCAGGATAACTAAAGTAAACAAACAAAACATGACTTCTGCCCTCAAGGAACTAATCCAATGTCTCTTCTTCCTTTGAAGAACAATGAAAGGATTTAAGTAGATTATCTAGCAGCACTGGTAATAACATAAATTAATAACCCACTTATGTCAGGACTTCTGCTTCTAGTAATGACAGACTAGGTAATTCAGACCAACTATCCTACTGAAAACAACTAAAAATTCTGGATTTGAAAAAATATATATGTTTTTAACCAAAAACACCAGTGAGCTGGTAAGATAATTAAGAACTACCAGGCCAAGATCTAAGGAAATGATGGAGCCCAGAGCACATGCCTGATCCACTAAACCCTGGGAATATTTGCTGCATGGGGCAAGAGTTGGCTTTAGTTTTGGAAGTTTCTGGGGCTCAGGGGAACGAAAGTCAAGGAGGAATTCTGGGATAGGGAGACATGCAGCACTTCAGAGGCAATAAAGAAAAAACATGTCCATCTGATAAGTTATGTCAAGAAATTACTTCCTGGAGAAAGTCAAAACAATACAGAAAAGGCTGTTTTGAAAGAGGGGGAGAGCATGGTTGTATGCCAAAGGCAGAGATGTCCTGAGATAAAATGGACAGCCCAGATACTACTAATAAACTGCAACTAACTGGGTGGGCTAATTATATATGTATGTCACACACACACATACACACACGCGCGCGCACACACACTTGTTACACATAACAAAATTTATTAGTGTTTGAGGGTGATCATTTCTTCAGAGTGAGAGGAAGGGAAATGATAACTCACCAGGAGAAAGAGAGGGCTGATGGCTACCCAGCAGATCCTCCAAAACCATCCAGGGCTGAAGCCAAGCATTTCCTTTACATCACTGCAGAACTGAGTGATGCCTAAAATCATCCAAAAGAGAAAGAGATTGACTGAGAGGGCAAGGGCAGTCTTTCTACCCATTAATTCTCAAAGAGATAGAAGCTCTGGAATTTGGGCTCAGGGGCACCAAATTGATTTGAATCTGGGATACTTGTCACAGAACTGCATTTTGTAGCAAGCAATGCTCTTTTTCTACAGAGAGGGGGGACTGGTGGACATGTGGGAGGGAACCTAATGCTCCCTGCTGGTGCCCACACCATCTTTCTAAGCCCACTATGTATTTCATTTTATTGCTACTATAGGAAGGAAAGCTGAATTTTGTCTAGGGATGGCACACCCACCTGACAGAGACTGACACTGACCATATACTGGAAACGTTCAAGAGAAAATTTTAACCACAATATTGCCTACTCATATGTCAGATTAAAATCAAGGTTCTAGGGCCTCCCCAGTGGCGCAGCGGTTGAGCACTGGGCTATGAAGCTCCCCGCAGCCTCTGCAGCACCGGTTCAATCCCCAGCGGTGCGAGGGTCCCACATGGCACGCAGACCTCTCCTGCCGTGCCCGCTGCTCCCCTCAGAAGTGTACTTCGGTCCTTCTGCCTGTTCTGTTCCCCGCTCTGGCTCTGATGAATTCTCTCACCCTCTTGCGCTTCTGACTGTACCCAGTGCTTGTATAAATAAATAAATAAATCTTAAAAAAAAAAAAGAATTTAAAAAAAAATCAAGGTTCTATAAAAAGTAACAGAGAAATTACTGAGAAATTGAGAAGGGGAAGGGAGGGTGCTGTTCTATGGGTGCTTCCAAGAGCTCCCAGTAATACCACAGAAAGGTCTAGAGCATTCACAAACTTTGAACTTTGTCCTCTGAGTTCTTGAGGAAGTAGAGAGGACTTTCTTAAAAAAAAAAAAAAAAAACAGGTTTCCTAAGCAAAACAAAACAGGCCCATCTGCAACTCATAATACATGTCCCCTTCTTCATATTATCTGTAATGACAAACTATCTCATTTTCATAGAAATTAGAAAAATACATTTTCAGAATGAAATTATCACTTCTTGATTTTTAATACGGAGGGAGATATATCTGAACCTTGGTCTTTGATTGGCTGTACCCTCCCAATCCCTGTCCAAGGGCTCTTGGGACACCTGCCAGTGGGCCCAAGTCAGCTCACTCTGCACTCCAGATGATTTCACTCTTATCAGAGTCCACTCCAGGATCAGAGGAGAGAGAATGGGGGGAGGGAGGGTTACCAGGACAGATAATCCAAATAGGAACATTCTTGCCTCTACCCTAGAAAATAAGCTCCTAAACTTGCTCTCAAGGCACTGGAGGGAGCACTTGCTTGTGAAACTTAAAATTTGGAGCCACTCTTTATAACAGTAGTATATTGTATATGTTGTAAATACATTCCCTGTACACTAATTCTTTGTTTTCCCTGCAATTCTTTGAGCCAATCTTATGCATCCACTGTGGATGAGCTGTGTGACCACTTCAGCCTGTTGCCATTGGGTAAACATTTATTTATTTATTTTTAATTTTTTATTTATTTATGCATAGAAGAGCTGGGGTGTAGTCCAGGGGTTTGGGGAGCAGCGATTCACCTATCCCAGAGGATTCACCAGAGATAGAGTGGGGAGCAGAACAGGTGGATCTACTGAAATACACTGCTGAGGGGAGTACGAGTGAGACAGGAGAGGTCTGCTGCACCATGTGGGTAGCTCCCTGGCTGGGGTTTGAACTCATGCTACAGTGGCTGTTAATAGCTTGATAGTGCTGAGACTTAACCCCTTGTACCACCAGGGAGGCCCTGATGACGTTTCTGAAGAAAGCATTCAATTGAGATTATTTTACAAATCCACCAGGAGGTGACATCCACTGCCCGGCCTTTCTTTGATGCAGTCAGTCTCTGATCTGGTGACTGTACGTTGGTGTAAAAACAATTGTGACTAGCAGAAGGAAGCATCTTACCATAGAACCAATACACAGCAACTGCTTCTATCAGTGCAACAGTGAGCACGGCAGGCCCTGTGGCATATTCCTCCAGTAGCTTCACCACGTAGGCCCCTCCCTAGAAAGGAGATCATGAACCTGGTTAACAGGGTTCTCTGAGGCACTCTCCCCGCTTTACTATATGGGCCTAAAAAGCTGCTGTTGCTGCTGCTGTTTTTTTTGTTTTGTTTTGTTTTGTTTTTAGCTTCTTAGCATAATTCTGGAAAATCCTCAACTTGGACCTAATACAAGTATCCCAAAGCCTATCTGTTTGGCCTTCACAGTGTGGGCCAGATCTCATCCCATCAGTGGGCTCCTCCTGCTCCCTATAGCACGCTCTTGTTTCATTTCCCTGCTAAGCTCTAAGAGACAAACTCAAAAGAACTTCCAGATCTATTTTCAACTTTTTTCAATTTATCTGACACCTACTGTGTGCTTTACTCTGAAGAATCCTGGTTCCTAAAAACTGAATCTTGAAGAGTCCACAACTTTAGATGCATTGAACATGTTGGTTGTAGTTTAAAGCCTCTGTCCCAACAGACTGGGCAATGGTGTGAAGATGCACGTGTGCAAAATCTGCCTTGAGTAGAGCATACAAGCCCTGGATGCCTATGGGTACCACCTGATGCACATTTTACAGTATTAATGATAGACACCTGTGAGCTTGCACACGTGCCTGATGCCAGACACCTGGAGTAGGGTGTGGGCATGTATAAGTGGGCGCACCTGGGCTGAAAGACTGGGCTTATAAGGGCGGCATCATGGGGATGCCAATGGTGGTAGAAGCAGCAAAGAAGCAGAGGGCATGGTAGCGGAAGCAGAGACAGCGGGGACACCACAAAGAATACCAGAGAGCCTAGAAAGAGTGAGGACTCACTGGGGGCTGGGAGGCCTGCCAGCCTCCCGGCCCCCCTGAACCCCCTGCCTGCCATGTACCTGGTTGCCACATTACAAATGATGTAAAAAGCTCAATAAAAGCCTGAGCGAGCCACTGAGGGCTCCAGGAATCTCCTTTACCCGTATGCCCGGATCATAGAGAAACTGCTCCATGCCTTTCCGGCACTACAAAAAAGTAAGTGGTAGTTTTTCTCCAGATGTTCTGCCAAGCCTAAAATCTAGTTGGATCTACTATAACATGCCAAGCGACTCTGTATAACAATAGAAGCTAATGGAAACATTTCTTCTTATCCTTGATGACAGAACTTTTTAATAGCTGTGACAACCCCTCTTCCTTTAGCCCTAAAGCTGGGCCACCATGCACGATGGAAGGAAAGGAATAGCTTCTTATAGTGTTCTGCTCTAGGGGAGAGACCCTAAGGGAGGCTGACTCAGAGCTATGGGTTGTGTTACTCACAAAAGTCAGGGTGATCAGGGATCCACAGAAACAGGTGATGACCACACCAAGCACAAGCCACTCCCGGCGCTTGGACCAGACATGTGGAAATTCATCCAGCACAGCTGTGATGACACCCTCCAAGCCTGCAAACTGAGAGATACAGTCACATTGGAAGCTTTGGGACAAATCTGTTACCTTCTAGGACAGTGAAGCAGGAGAAAGTTAATATTACCAAGTGACAAAGTAAGGTGATCATGACCATTTGCCCATACTTGTCAGTCCTCACTGGAAATATATTTCCCTCTTTTACAATGTCAGTGAGAACCCCTCACTAATACATCCAGATAAGAAAATGTAGCACGTGAACAGGACTTCTTTATATGAGGTCTCTTGGGGAGACTACCACAAAGGCCAGCTCAAAGCTGAGACTCATTCCATTCTAATGAGCACAAGATCATGAGCTGAATGCTGGATAGCAGGGGACTGAGACACCAGCGTTACCTTGCCCTGGCTTTCAGGTGCTGCCATCTGGTCAAGGGGCAGTGCACAATAATAAAAGTTCACAAATGCTGACCTCCTGGCCTATATCGGGCACTTTACCCTCATTATCCTAGTAATGACTCTAATGTACTAAGGGTATTGAGTACCATCACTGAGAAGTAAGCAAGAGTCTGGGAGAGCACCAGAAGCAGCCACCACCACCTGGATAGCCAGGATGGGAAGGCACAGTTTTAGTTTCCCCTTCTCCCTTTCTACCTCTTTCTCTACTTCCTCCCCTTCCTCCCTTTCCTCTTTCTCTTCTTTTCTTCCAGAGCTGGATTTTCTTCCCCATTCACTCACTGTGCTGTCCAAGCCGAGTGTGATTAACATCAGGAAGAAGATGATGGCAAAGAATGTGGATGCTGGCATGTTGGCTATTGCTTCTGCATATGTGATGAAGAGGAGGCTGGGGCCTACAACAGAAGAGGAAATAAGTTGGTGGTCTCTGAAACCTGTCCTACGAAGATTTCTTAAAGGAAAACAGAACCTGAAGTCCTACCTGCATCTTTTGCTACCTCAGACACATCTTCATTCCTCATCTCAGCCATATACCCAAGCACAGTGAAGATGACGAATCCTGAAACGAAGCTTGTCATGCAGTTCACCACACTGGTCACCAGGGCGTCTCTGGAGCAGAAAACCCAGAGAGGTTGAGACATTTCTGAGGTCAGAATCTAATAAGCATCTGTCTCTAAATGTGGCAAGGGTGAGCAGGTTGAGCTCAAAGAGATTTCAATCCTATCCCCTCCCCTTCTCCCACTACTTGTAGCTTAGGTTGATTGTATCAAGCTTGAAGTACAAGCTATAGTTACCACCATGCACGGCATCAGGAGAACAATAGGTCAAGAGTTGTTTTAAAGAGATGGTGGTGTTTCCAAGCAACAGAGCATAGACCTCTTGATTTCAAACAAGGTGATTCTGAAGCAGGACCTGGGTTGGAGTGGGGACTAGGAGGGCAACTTGGGTTCACATTTGTGAAGTCTACAGATTTAGAATTTTGACATCTACAAATGGCATTACAAGACCACCACAGAGATACTTTTTTTTTTAAGATTTATTTATTTATTTATACAAGCACTGGGTATAGTCAGAAGTGCAGGAGGGTGAGAGAATTCACCAGAGCCAGAGCAGGGAGCAGAACAGGCAGAAGGACCAAAGTACACTGCTGAGGGGAGCAGCGGGCACTGAAGAAGAGGTCTGCGCACCATGTGGGATCCTCCCTGGCAGCCAGGGATCGAACTGGTGCTGCAGAGGCTGCGGGCAGCTTCGCAACCCAGAGCTCAACTGCTGCGCCACTGGGGAGGCCCGATATCATGATACTTTTAAAAGAAGACCTCATCCTATAACTTCAGATTGGGGTCCCAAATACAAGGACATGTTACTTAATTAAAAAATATATAATCTTATAAATAGCACAATTAGATCACTGGAAATTGCCATGAATAATAAACATTAAAGCAAAAGTTAACTCTAAAGATGAGTGATATTTAAATCATAATTGGTAAAACATAATTTGTACAATTTTGTTTCATCAAAATTTCTTTTTTGTTTTTTTTTTTTGGAGGGCTTCATCAAAATTTCTGAAATAAGATTTTGCCACAGAAATAATGGCGTTCTTGCATTGTCTAAATAGCTCAATCATTATACTTTGGGTGTCAGTGTATGTGCATGCAAATAAGCATATTATAATTTTATTGTTACATACACTAACAAGTCAGATTTAAACATTTAATGTATGTTGCAATTTTTGTAAACCTGCTTTGGAATGTATTAGTTTGTTTTTCTTTTATATGTAGAGACAAAACAGACATGACTGGTTTTCTCTCAGCTACTGGCTTAGGTATGGGTGAATGGTCAGGGTCTGTGTCTACCATGACCTGAGCTGATCAGGTTAGAGGTCATTTGTTCAACTTTACCCCACTTTCAAACTTGCTTGAGGGGGCCCCAGAAACTCACTGGTAACAGTTGTTATTGAATTTGTTGTAGCTAGCAAAAGCCAGTAGGACTCCAAAGCCAGGACCGAGAGAGAAGAAGATCTGAGCAGCAGCATCCACCCACACCTGGAACAGAGGTAAGGATGAGAGTGGACACCAGGTAACAGCAAGACCAGTGACTTTATGTGGCTATGTGAAGAAGTGAAAAACTATGTCATTCCAGGCTCTTGTTATCAAGTGCAAACAAATGTGATTTTTTTCTTCCCGTCATTTGGCATGAACACATCCAGTAGCTTCAGCTGTGCTTTTCATGCTTGTACTTCTGGTTATCACTGCAGACTTAACTACTGAAGTCAATTTCAGTAGTCCCTACTGTTTTATTTGGAGGACTAGCTTCAGTGAGAAATAGGTGTATGTGTTTTCCACATTATCTTACCCCTGTCTCCAGAAGTTTCTGCCAGTTGGGTTTCAAATAGAAGAGAACACCCCTCCAGGCTCCAGGCAGAGTAGCCCCCCTCACCAGCAAGATAGAAAGGATGATGTAAGGGAAGGTGGCTGTCACCCATACCACCTGTAAGGAAGGAGAGTGGAAACAGGTTACCATTGTGTTTCTTGAAGACCTCAAGAAAGAAAGTCTACCTCTTTAATTCCTGTAATTTTAGGGCCAATGTGGTATGGCAGAAAGATCAGAGCCTTTAGAATCAGACAAGGATCTGACTCACTGCTTGCCTGTGCTATCCCTAATATTCACTCTGCTTTTGTGAAATGGGGAAAATATCTAGCAGTAGATTATGGAGTAGCCATATATATAAAGTACTGAACATGGTTTATGATGGTATTTCAACAAAATATTGTCCCTATTGTCATACTACAGTGGATTAAGAGAATTTTGGTGAAAAATCTTATAAGAGTTCTTGGGATTGTCCCATTTGTAGAATTTTCTAACAGATTTGGTGAAGCAAGATTGGGCATCATGAATGTGCTTGGTGTTGAAGAAAAAAATGTTTCCCTGTCTGTGGCTGTCTAGGCTGCTGGGTTCTGAATTTGAGAACCTCTGGGGTCCTTTGCAGGCCTGAATCAGCAGCCAGTCCTCACCTTGCCAGATGTTTTGACACCTTTCCAGATGCTGAAGTAGATAACAGTAAAAATCAGCATGATGCAGAGGGCGAGCTGCCAGCTGATGCCCCCCAGGTCCTGTAGCCCCTTAGATCGGTGGATCTGTAGGACATGACGCCTGCAGTGGACAAGAAAGACCTATGAGATGGTCTGAAAAGTAATCTGAGCATGCAATATGTGATACCTCTCAGAGGATGCCAAGGGAAAAAGTGGACACTGCACTCATAAGTGGTCACTGAGTCTTGGGAAGAGCTGAGATTGGCTTTGCTCATCCTAAAGGAGCCAGTAACACATTCAGGTGGGTTCTGGGTTCACGAGAATTGATATGTGTAGGTAATGGGCCCCTTCTCCTCTCTGAACTGCCAAGACCTGAAATTCCAGCATTAAAGAATGCTACCCAATCTGAGCATCTTCTTCCAAAGGATAGATCCCATTTACGCAGTGGACATGTGACACTGGAAATTACTTGAATAGTTTCAGACTATTGAAGTACTAGGATGCTTTGCTTCCATGACAACTGGTAAGAAGCCCCAGAAAGAAGGGTGGTTTTGATTCAGGGGAATAATTTTGGAATGTGAGGGTAGCAGTAGGCCTGGGGCAGCCTGGCATAGCACATCAGAAAGAACAACAGCACAGAAGAGACAGATTGCAGAGCTCTCAGGGTAGAATCTCCCAACTCCAAATACAGCATGGAGCTGGCCCTGCCACTCATCGCTCACATTTACTCCCCCATTCCTGATACCTTATCTCTCAGAAACCTGTAAAGAACCTCTGCTCCCTTCTTCTTCTCTCCTAAGAAGTCAAACCTCAGGGGTGTGGACTGGCCCACACTGGCCACGCCCTCACTTACATGCACTTACGTGTAAAATTCTTCAGCAGGGGACGTGGAATGGAATGTCCAAGTGACGTTGTCCTCAGAGAAGTAGTTCGTGCAGTTGCCCGTGTTCCAAGAGTTCTTGCAGCTGGTCCAGGGCAGCTGGTCCGTGAAGGAGGAGATGAGGTAGTAGAGTGCCCAGGCCATGATGGTATTGTAGTAGGAGGCAATGTAAAAGGCAATGATGCAGATGGCATAACCAATACCTGGGAGAGAAAGGGTAAAGTGAGGCCAAAGTTAAAGAGCAGACCAGCAGTGAAAGACTGAAAATACAGGGCAGTAGAGGGAACTATAGCCCAGGTGAGGAGTAAAGGTTGGTACTACCAATCATGTCATTCCCAAAAGACATATAGTGGGAAAGTGGTAGATAGTGGGATAGTGGTAGATAGTGGTAACCTGACAGATAGTGGGAAAGTGGTAATGTGGTAGATTCCTTATATGAATTTGCAAGGTTATGTTTTAGAAAATGTGTGCTTGTTGATTCTTTAGTTTTCTTCTTATTTACTATAGTTTACTTCTAGTTTGCCATTTATTATTTCCCTTTAATGATTTTATACCACTGAGCAGTCAAAATCTTACTCAAGCTATCACCCAGGGGTACCTAAGGCCTAACTGAATCCAGAAGAAGGCCCCCCAGATCCCACTCATTGTAAATCACTACTTCCTTGAAGGACCTACTCAACCACTCACCCAAACCTTTCAGTTACCTTTGAAAATTGGGCAGATTTTCCTCCATATTGAAATGCATCCATTCCGGTGGTATTGGCCTAGTGCAAGCTCCATGTAGAAGAGTGGGATCCCTCCAAAAATGGCCATGATGGTGTAGGGGAGGAGGAATGCCCCTGAGGCAGATAAAAGACAATTTCAGTCCCTGCCACATCTGCCCCAGGACAGTTCAACTGATCTGGACACCAGGAGTTACACCAAGAACCAAAGCCATCTGTACATGAATGTCACAGAGCCATCCTGTGCTGAGGGACCTCACACTGTGGTCCTCTGATCTTAGAGCTTTGCCAGAAGTAGTAGTAGTAGCCAGAGTGCCACAGTGAAAGCAAGGTATGGAAGAGGCAGAGAATGAGCAGAAGGAAAACTGGGTTTGTGAGTTATAAGGACAGCCACTTGTAAATGCTCGAAGGACTCTGTCTCCTTTCCTTTCCTATAAAATGACAGGACTGCAGAGAGCTAGGTTTCCTAAACCCAATCATTATAATCTCTGGTGAGCTTAAAAAAAAAAAAAAAAACAAAACAAAAACTTCTCCCAGACCTCCTAAAGCAGATGCTCCAGGTATGGTTATAAAACAAAAATTTTAAGCTCCCCGGGTGATTCTAATGCAACCAATGCATGGACCAGCATTTGAGATCTTAGAACAGATCTCCCATGACAATCTGTGAGTCACTGAATTAGTATCTTTGGTCACCTGTATTATCCCTGGCTCTAGACACTTAATTATTTGCTATTTGACTATTTTCCAAAATTCCACTAAGCCAGAGAATCCTCCCTTGCAAGCCACCTTTGTAGCTGCGGCTGGAAAAGGTAGCTAGTTACAGAATGAGAAAGCACAGGTAAGTGGAGATGCTGGAGTCTCTTAGCGCTTGTGACTGAGGCTGAATATGGGAATGTAAAGTTAAGAATTACTTACAGCCTGAGTTTTAACCCAAAAGGTGCACTAGCTGTGATTTTCACTGGTAACTTTCCCTCCCATAAAGTGCTTTGAACCTAGACACATGAAGTCAGTGCAACTAGGAAGATCCCACCTAATTTATAATCACGAGGGTAAATATGGCTCAAGAATAAAAACCATGTTGTGTTTTCATGGTGTATTTGTCCAAAGGGTTTGCTTAATTGTCTTTATAGTAGGGAATTAATAGGAGAAATTTCACCTTTGACCCAGAGCCTTTTATGCAGCTCTGGCTAAAGGTGAGTCCTTCCAAGCTGGAGATAAGGTGATTCCAATTTCTGCTCCTTTCAAGCAGGAGTTCTGTGCTTCACTGCCATACCACCTCCCCACCCCTCCCATCCCCTCACACTGCCAACTGCATGGAGCAGAGTCCTTAAACAATGTAGCAAATTCAGGCAATTCTGTGTCAGATCATGAAAGAAATGAGGGTGACAATAAATGGAATATCCCCCCAAACCTCATTTTAGCTGCCCTCCCAGATCTGTTGTCAGAGCTGTTAAAATGAATATTGACTGCTTTGATTCCCATTTCTTGTCCTTCTATTCTGATAGCAAATTCAAAGTCAACACAGAGCTATTGACTACTACTGACTCAGTCCCTGGCTCTACTCTCCCTGGGGATCCCTTAAATGCCTGCAGTCAGCTACTATTTTTGATAATCTACAAGTGAACTGCTCTAGAGGCATTAGGGGTAGAAGGAGGATCAAGCAATAATCTCTGATCTCAAAAATCTAACACCCTGGTTGGAGATACAAGGCATATCCATATTTGGTTTGGAGTTGCCATTAATGTCATGCTGTGGCTGAGTTCAGCTCTGCAGCATGCCCAGATTGTAACCTAAAGCTGTGGACCTGCACTGATGCCCTTTCTGACTTCCCACACAGATCTAAAAGCCCTGTGTGCCAGGCCCAGGAATTTGGGATCCTGGAGCCACCTTCCAAGTTGTTCTGACTCCTCTAAGCAGACCCTGACAGCCAGAGGGAGTTGATCAGCACAGTGCTACTAGCTGTTTCCTCGCCTCTGGCTAGTGGAGGACAGAGCTTGGATAATGCAGACATGAGAAGGAGGCCTTTCAACATGAAACCCTCATGGTACTACAAATCTGTGAGGTCAAGTTTTGGAGAGCTGTCATTCAGCTTCAAAACCCAGAGAACTTCATCACATGCGAACTTAAAATTTTGGCTTACTGGAGATTTGTCTTTTAGATTAGCTTACAAGTCTAAGCAATCATGTTCCCAGATTCATAGCAGTTAAACAAGGGAGAAAAGATATGACTTATCCTCTGGGCTCCCAAGAGAATCTAGATACCACCCCTGAGTCAGAACTCCAGGACCTTGATACTGACCCCCTCCATTCTGGTAACATATGTAGGGAAAGCGCCAGACATTGCCCAAGTCCACAGCATAGCCAATGACTGAGAGGAGGAAATCCACCTTCTTGCCCCAGGTCTCCCGTTCCCCTTGATGAACCTCAGCCACTAGGGCAGTGGTGGCAGCCAGGCTGGTGTGCTGAGTATCATCTCCTGCACTGGGGCTCGGAACCCCTGAGTACCCGTTGGAGATGTGGCCAGACTCTGCCTTATCCCCAGAGTCAGAGACACCCTTCTGTAGAACTCCATTTTCCTGACAATCTTCTCCAGCCTTAAACACTGACAGCTCCTTCTGGGAATTTAGGGGCATGGTCTCCATTCTGCTGGCTAAGAGATGATAATGATGCCCATCTGTAGAGGAACTGAATTCTTGGTGCTTGGTTCTATGGCTCTCCTCCGTTTAATATCAATGGGATTGAGAGTTCTGTTGGAAAAGCACACAGAGAAAGGAGAATATAAACAGTGCCTTTGAAAGGAGAATATAAATAATGCCTTTGGTATTAACTCATCATACATCTTAAACTACATTAGTTAATAAATGCACCTGTTAGATGTGAGCCATCCTATTTGCTCCCAGAGTTTAGAAAATCAACTACATTTTGAACCGATACAATGTATCAAATCACAAGTAATGTGCAATAGAAACAACAAGACAACAAAACAAAAAAATAGCAAAATTACCAAGGTTTTGTACAGGGTCTATTTAAGGGCAAAGTATTTACTTCATTTCAAGGCACTGGAATTTCACACTGGAACTTACTAGTACCTCAGAAGAACCTGAGGACTTGTTTGGATAAAGCTTCAAAAAGCACTTACTGTGTCCTGGATGTTGTGCTAGGAAAACAATGACTAAGTAGCACTTTTGCTTGCATGTATATAAGGACAGTCCTCTCCATCATTCAAGCTGAATGTTCAAAATATATTTTTTATAAACAATAGCTATGACCTAACAAAAAAGGAGCCAAGGACAGCAGTGAAAAGGCCACCCTTTGTGAGGCATCCCCTAACTCCTGAGCTGTGAACTTTTTCATTTTCCTTGCATCTTAAGAACCTTTGGGCATATTCTAGCTGCTTTTGGCTGTATCAAGTCCATTCTTACTTCACCTTTTTTTGTTCCTATTATGTTTCTGCAATGCCAACTGAGTCCTAAATGGTTCTGCTGCTCACCATTCATTCATTCCTGCCCCTCCCAGCCACTCCTGTGGCTACCCAGCTCCTTCTTTTGCAACAGTGAGCACACAGGGTCACCTCTCACCCTCACCAGAAGAGCCAAGGAGAAGAGCACAGAGGTTACAGATGCCGTTGTGGCTGTTTTCTGTCCCCACGCCTCTCGGTGGGGAAGGCTGGGCCGGGTCTGGGTATCTTCAGATCACTCCTGTGGGTTGGGGTGCAGGGAAGTTAGCTTGGCTTCCAGATCCAGGTCTGAGATGTCAAACAGGTAGAAAGCCAAGCCCTTTTGGACTTTAAACTATGGCCTGTTACCAAGTTATAAAACAAAATCTCCCAGCTAATTTCATTTCTTCTGGGACTCAACTATTCAATCTCTTGAAATAGTTTGGGAGTTGAAACATGTTTCTGTTTAGCTGGGATTACATTATATCTTTCTAGGAAGAGGTGTCCAGCAGTGGCCTGCTGTCACTATTCATAACTGCAAAGATCTGACACTAACCCTCCAAATTCAATAGTCAGAGTATAGATAGGAACTGGGGCTAAAAAAATGGTAGTGTGTGTCTCCAACCTATGTGGGGCTTTCAGTGGCTATAAGTTAATTGTCTGCACGTGGAAATGTGAAGACAAAAATGTAGTGAGTGAAAAATTAGAACACAAAGTAGTAGATTCACACTGATGACCATGTACATAACTCCAGCAAGGATTAGACATGAACACCAAGAAATACAAGTAATTAGAGTTTTGTGTTTGTTTTTTTTCCCCCATAAGATGGAAAATAAGCATTTTAAAGGAACTGATTATTGCCAGAAATCCCCACAGCAATGAGAGTGGAAACAGTTCCATAGAGCTAGTGTATGCATCAGGAGGTAGGTAGACGTTCTTGGTTCCATGCTATGAAGTCCTGATCCCCAACCCTACCCGAGACTCAAGGATGCAAATACTTCTCATAGAAGAGTACAAGTTTCTGGCAAAGAATGATCTAGATAAAACCCCATTCTGTTCCTCTTTTTGCTGCTTTCCAGACTCTCCCTGTGCCCCCCTTCTCTGAGACTTCAGCTAGACTTGATGGAATTTTTAAATAGCCACATATTCCCTTATCCACTCTAAGTAACCATTATCCAGACCAAGGGAATTTTCTTAAGTTCCTTTCTCTTTTTTTAGAGAGAGAGAGAGATGATGAGATGTCAATATATTTAAATACACAGCTAAATTAATACTGAACTCGCAGCCTCTGGTTATTTGAAGAAAGTGTCTGTATTTTCCTTTAGCCTATGTCAAGGACACGTTTTCCAAATTAAACACTGGAGAACTTGGAGACCAGATGGCAGAGATAAAGAGCTTTACTATGTTGGGCCAGATGGCACCCAACAGATAGGGCCTGACTACAACTGAGCTCCCCCATCCCCTGGATCTTTTTTTCTCCATCTTCAAAATTTTACGTAGGAACTTTTTCCTGCCTTTAATGCAGCAACTTTCCTGTCATTTAAATTAAAGCTCAGTAGCGCTTTCTCTGGCCTGTCCATCATGACATGTGGAAGGGAAACATTGTCCACCTTCAATGCATGCATTGGGCGGGTGGGGAGGAGCGTAAGTTACTAACTTACGCTTGGTTTCTAGTGTCTGCTCCTTCTGCCACAGCAGCAGTGATTTGTCCTAGATTTCATTTACTTTCTCCCTTGGGGCATCCTGCACAGAGGACGGAAAGTGCATGTGGGTTGACAAACTTTTTGGGAGATAATGTGTGTTCTTCAGGGTGCTTAAGAGGTTCAGCCCCCCAGGACATCTGATCCTTCTTGACAATTCCACTGAGCATCTACTAGAAAAATAATATACAATTTTCTATTTTTACTCTGAGCCATTACAAAAATCTTATTTCCTGAAATATTCCCCAAGTCATAAAGAAATCTGCTAAGAGTGTACCTCATGTGAGCACTGACCTCAGGTTGCCCTCTCTCTTCTTCAAGCTGCTTTCAGGGGTTCTCCTATTGTACCTCTACCCTTCATCATAGAACCTGGGGTGCAAAGAGGTAAGTTATCACCTCTCAAAACCATCAAATAAGCCGGAACTGCACATCTCCTTCTTTCCTACTGTCTACTCTCCCAGTTGGAGGAGAACGCCTCCCATATACTAGTCACAGCAGCCAAAATGTAGTGGCCCAGGTCTGGGTTCCCTTTTACCTGCAGGATGCTGCATGGAATCCCAGATTGCTTTTCCATTTTTCAGATTCTACAGTGTACTGAACAACTCTTTTTACTGAGAGCAGCCAGCAGATAACAATGGTTGACAGCAAGCTGGCCCGGGGATATAAAAGCAAGAGTTGTTAAGAAGGGTGGTTCTAAGAATCTCTCTTGAAAGCTTTAGTAAAGATATTTTTATCCTGATGGCTAGAAAAATTACAAATGAGGTCAAAAGTATGTCTGTGACCTCCTGCAGGCAGACTTTGAGTTTCTCATGGCCAGAAAAGCCCTTGATGCCTTTCTTTCACCTTGAATGTGTGAATGTCCCAGACTGAGCAGGTGACAGGCTGTGTGGGTGGTGCCACATAATGCAGTTCTTTTTTGTGGACAACAGCCTGACATGCAGGAGCCTCATCCTTCACGTCTCCACACATGATGGGCAGCATGGTGGTGCAGTTAACAGACTAATCGTCAACTTCTTGCTCACCCTCCTGCTTTGTCTCAGCCCAGGGAGTGTGCTCATTCACTCCACCTCCCCCCTAGTAAAAAGGACTGTTTCTATTTAAACTTCTCCTGATCAAATCTTCATTCCTCTTTCTACACACTGTCCTGTAGCCAGGGGAACCAGAATCTGAACAAACATTTAATTACAGTGATTAGTCATAAAACAACCCAGCCCTTTGGAAATACCCAATACTCCATTTGCCTGATTGAAGCCCATCCACACATTCCAAGTAGAAATACTATAGAAATTTTATAATTTGACTTCACATGTCAGGATCAAAGTGAGTTTATTTCTCAGGACACATAATTTCCATTTTCAAACACAAACAAAAACCAGCATTAAATATGGGTTTACCGCTGAGATAGGATTAATTACAGGTCATATAGCCAAGTGGCAATTTGCATTCTCTTGTCATAGGGAGCCTTAAGTTTCCAAGGCACCTAGCAAGGATGATAAGAAGCTCCAGCGCCTCCTCACACATAAACACTGAACCTGGCCCTCTATCACGGATCGGCACTAATTCAGCAACTACGTGCTAAATGCAGTGACCGTGTGTTATGTGCCTACTATGTGCTAGGCTCTTGGAAACAAGACAGATGCAGTCCTTCCTTCACAGAATTCATGGAACAAGGTCGATATCTGAAATGGAAGACAAACTGGTAGGAAAAATATGCTTACAGAGAGAAAGGCCAGTACTGCTTTTTAGAACTGCTGCACTTTCTAATGTAAACTGGGGTTGCTGCAGACTTGATGTAGCATGTTTAGATATCTCACTTTTCTAGCTCCAAAGTTGCCCTTAGGCTTTAAAAAATCTTCCTTTTCTTGCTATTGCACAGCTTTTGGCTTTTGTCTCAGACCCTTGGATTTTAGCTGATTATGGCTCAGAGTCGTCACAATGTACGGTGGTTGTTCATGTTTGTATCTGCTAAAGGGACTGTTGAGTTCTCTGGGCTGAAGCATCATAGACTGTAAGCCACAGGGACTCCTGGCTCACCTTTCAACAAAATGAAGAGCCCTCATTATATGAATGGAAGAAGTAGAAAAAAATCTGGTTTTGGACTTAAGGGGTAAAACTGTATTCCATCTCCTTATCCTAAGAATGCTTTACTTGAGAACCTTTACTTCTTTGGGAGAGAATTAAATCGGCTTAAAATCCTCAGGGTCATTTGGGTCAGTTCTACGAGAAAGGAGAAGGATCTCTGTTCAGAAATTTCCCTGCCTAGAAGAGGATAGCACCCAAGCTTCTTTCCACGGGAAATTATAAATTTTGCCCACTCCAGAGACTGGGCAGAAGTACAATGGATTATTTATTTGATTTTAAAATAAAAAATAATAACGATTTGACATTAATAGGTGTGGGAACCCTCCTCTAGAGAAAATGAACAGCCACACCTCGCCTACCTTCTCAAGCCATTGTTTAACAGTTCTTATGTGTCCACAACCCATGACTTTTCGGTCTCACAGATTAGCATGGAAATCCCAGATCCACCACTTAGTGACTCTGTTACTTTAGGTAGGTTGCTTGACCTCTTTGAGCTTCCATTTCCTCAAATATAAAAGCAGACCATTAAAAAAGTCTTACTTCCTAAAGACTAGTGTAGACATTAAAGTATGACAAATGCCTACCTCTGTGATGAGGGCAAGAAAAGCATAACAAATGACAGTTAATGGTCATCACACAACCACACATATGCAACCCACTCTGTTTTCTATTTCACACCCTCAGGGAAACTGAAGCCTACAAGGCTAAGTGATTTGTAGTCTACAGCATGAGTGGGCAGCTTGAGCCAGATCTTAGGGCTTCCATCCACTTCCACGGGGTCCCAATGGTTCATGCTTACTCTTCTCACCCCGTGACTTTACCTGGGACCTGTGGTATCACCTGGGAATCTTGTAAACAGCAGATTCCTGGGCTCCTTTCCCAGAGGTTTTAATTCAAAAGATCCATGTAGACATTGCATTTTAAACAAGCCCCCAGATTATCAGGGCCAGGTGGGCCACGGGATATGCCCACCTGCATCTTCTCTCCCTTTATCCCTTATCCTGCATCCTCTGAGGCTGACTTAAGTTTCTATCTACCTCTTCTATGAAGCTTCTTCCTCTTACCACCCTAACCTGAGACTTATACATCCCTGTGTTTGTAGTGCACCGCTCCTAGCACAGAGGGCCTATTAGGATAAAACTAGTTTATCCTAGTTTCCTGGGCACATGTGGGGCCTGTGGAACCACAGCAGTCATGTGGGAAGGTTTAAGGCAGGTGAGGCATTACTTTCTCTTCCTTAGGGTATCATTCTCAGGGGCCCTGTCCCTTCTTGCTCCTCACCCATTAGGAAGATGTGCTGTGCATTTTGGGAAGAAGGAGGACTGTCACAGGATAATTTTAATGGACTATGGACTGGAAAAATCATGTCTAACATTAAAGAAGAACCTGTGTTGCACTTTTAGACTTTGAAACAAGTACCGACAGGCATACCCATTAATAGTTGGTGTTGCCAACATTCATTTGTTAGTTGCTTGTTTGGGAACTTGGCTGTA